TCAAATATATGGGTTTATACGGGAAGTAATGAAAATCCACCAGTGGCCGAGTGGATAAAACAACTGAACAGTTGAACGTAACGCTTCGCTGACAGGCCACGTGGTTTTCTGGATTTTCTTCGTGTAAAATTGGCCCCTATTTACATGTCAGAGGTAAATAAGGGCCAGTTTTACAGCCGACAGATCACCCACGTGTCGCATTGCTATAAACAAATCTAACCGAGCCCAATATTCTTGAAATAAATTCTAGGCTCAAAAGTAAGCTTAATGTTTTTCATATTTGGAAATCATATTTTAGAAAATTTTCAACAAAATTATTCCGAAACGTGGATTAGAAACGATGGCAGTCGAAAGTTCAGTTTCGTTGATTGGTCCACCATTCTTGGTATATTTCCTCTTCTCTCTTTGATTATTCTGGTAAATAAGAAAACATCTTACAAAATATAAAATAATTAAAATTAAATGAAGAGTTCCAAATAGAAATAAAGATTACAAATAAGATTATAAAAACAATTACATATCATTTAAAATGTTAGTCTGAAAACATAGATGAAAAATATAGTAATTTCAACCTGTTTTCATAATAATAATGAATCACAATCGCCATGAAATGGTAACGTTTGGAAAATTTAAAAATTAGATTTTTAAGATTATTAATTAAAACTGTATCTACTCCTTCAAACCGAATTAATTTTATGCTATTTATAACAGTTTAAATAGCATAAAATTTGGCTCCTATAGATAGTTAATTTGTAAATTGATTAGTTTTCTGAATATTTTTTAATGTTTTCATTTTAAAATAATCAAAAATGTTATATAAATACAAGAAGTAAGGAACTAAGAGATTAAAATAATATTTATTATTATTTTTTTACCTTTCTTGCTCAACACTATTTTATAATTTTAATCGGACAATTCAATGTCCATTTATTACTATTATTAACAATTGATGTCGTAATTTGACACGTGTATTACTTTAGAAAAAAAATTACATACTTTTGTAATACAAGTCATGTAAATATTTATTTTAAAAGTTATTGCATTTTTATTTTTGAAAATATGATCGTAATTATAAATTTAAAAAAAATAATATGTAATGATTATTAAATTGATTTTAATAGAAAAGCTCATAACTAATATTGACTAACTAATATTTGCTGACATTTACAGATTATTTTCGTTCAGAATCAAATTGTTTTTGAAAGATTCTAAAAAAATCAAATTTATCAAAAACAATTTAACTTTATCAGAAACGTATTTACGTATAAGCAGATCCCGAATATTGAGACCATCAAATCATTCTAAGAATTTAAAGCTATTTATTTCTTAAAAGTTACTAATTATTAATATCCTATATACTGTAGCTGTAAATGGCGGCTCCAGCAGACTATGAAAAAGGGGTGTACAAGCTATAAAAAAAAAGAGCATCGTATATTACGCGAGGAGCTTCGGACTCTATGATTTAACGCCTGATCAGCGTTCCCACAAAATGGCGCTGGTTGCACTCGGAGTTAACTTGGTTTTGAAAGAGAGTATAGGGTTTTGGTCAACATATGACGAAGTTGCATGGATCAATGGATAAATATCGTTCATTAGTTTCTTTTATATTTGCAGAATAGTTACGAATTTTCTGTTGTTTGGGCCCCCTTGGGAATTAGGAAAAGAGCAACCGAGATGAAAAGGCACGTAGGGTACACTTGCGGCACGTGCCCCAAATGTACTGTGCGGTCGATTATAAATAATTGGTTAAATAATTTTAAATAAATAAATATATAAATATTTTGATTTCATAAATCTGAAGGTCATTTCAGTTCCACATCATAAAATTATAAATAAAACATTCTTATTTAAAGCCGTTTTAAATTGGTGCGATACAAAACTAAAAAGTATAAAAATTAACCATATCCTAGTAATGTTTTTCTGTATATTTATATAATATAGAAAATAATATTTAAATTCATCGATACGCATTTTTGAATAACGCTATTTTAAATAAAATGCATTTTAACATACCGATACTCTGTATCTGTTCTCTATGTAATGACAATAGTGATAATAATGATTTTTTGTCTTAATTAAAAATGCGTATGTGATTTGTATCGGGAAAAATTAACTAATTAAATACATTAATTAAAAGATTATTTTTTATGCCTATAATTTGAGGAACCTTAATTAATATAGAGCTTCTTACACTTGCAATTGTTAAAGGCGAAAGATCATGTGCATCTTATGAAAATTCTAACCATAAGTTCGATAAGTCGAATATTTATTTATTTTAATTAATAATTCTATTCTACTAATTATTAATTAAAATAAATTATGGAATATATTTTAAAAAAATCTTTTTATAGAAGCAAGAGAGATTTCATGAAAGTAAAACTTTATGTAAGTTACTTGGATGAAAACAGAACATATCTGAATCATTTTCAATAGTCATGGGAAATTGTATTTTCATTGCATGCATATTATTTTTGATAGCATTTCTTCATCTNAAATCTGAAGGTCATTTCAGTTCCACATCATAAAATTATAAATAAATCGCCGAACTCTAAATAAAATAATCATTATTTTAGATTTTAGAATTTAACTAAGGAATTAGAAGTATTTATTCTAGGAGTAAAGAAGAAATTATCAGCATTTTTAAACAAAATTCATAGAGCTAGCTTAAACTCCCGAAAAATTTATAGTTAGTTACAGTGTCGAATTTCATTTTATTAAGATTTTTTCGTTTTAAAAGATTATCTCTCGAATTTAGTATTCTATTATTTTAATTTGTTACCATAATTAACGACGATTCTTCATTTTCAGGAATAGATAGAAATCCGAAAGTGTGCTACTATTCACAATAATGTTCGATCGCACGTTGTTCACGACTGTGAATCTTTTGAAAATTTGACACCGAGCAATTCTTTTACATCCAGCTTACAGTTGGTGAATTTGAGAAACAGATGAAAGTCAATCATTGGGCTTCCTGCTGTTCTCCAAAGGTCTCCAAAGGTAGGAAATGTAGACTTCAATGTCTACATTTCCTACCTGATGACCTACCTGAAGCCTACACTTCCTATGAAGAATCCACTAATGAAGACGCTAAGAACTCAAATACTGGTTATATCTACAGAACGCATCTTTTACCAAAGTTTTTATTTCTAGATCTATTGTTATGATAAGTACTTCAACAGACAAAGTGTTTTTTAGTTATAAATTGTTTCTGTCATGTGAATAGTAAGGGGGTAAGAGAGACTTTTTTCATAGCAAATATTGGTGTAGCAATGTGTTGAGGAATAAACCTTACGGGTCGGATGGTCGAGCGGTCGAGGTGGCAGCCTACCGCTCTGGGGGACCCGGGCTCGAATCCGAACGGGTCAAAAATATCCCCAGGAATTTTTCGGGGGTGGACCGTTCAGATATGTCGGGCCCCATCCCTCACCACCCGGTAGTCCCATTGTGGGCCTGGCCGAACCCATAATGGGCTTGCAAAAAGAGGCCCTCTTAGTGCCCACAAGGCGGAAAGAGTTTAAAAAAAATGAGCCCGTCGTATCTAGGACAGATCATCTATGGAAAATTCCCGAGGGTCCTCACCCGGACTTGAACTGGGTCCTTCAGAACATCAGATTGAAGCCGTTCTTACATAAGTTTTTAAAATTTTAAGTTAAATAAATAAAGTAATAACTGGTTACATTCTTTGATAGACTGGTAAACGCAAAAAACTATTGAGGAAACAGAGCCCCGAAATCCTTCCTTAACTATGTGTCTGATTAATTAAACGTTTTAATAAAGTAGAGAAAATCAAATTAAAAATAGTAATAATTATGGTTTTTATTATTAAGAGAACAAAAACAAATTTATAAATTCCTAAAATAGATGTCTCAATTACCAATATTGAAATATCAATATTTATTATATTAATAAGTTATATTATATATGTTATTAACAATCTTATTATTATGAATAAATTTCAAATTATTTCGTAAAATATGAAATTAAAGCCAAATTCTATCTGTGATTAAGCTTTTAACATGTCAGTCCCTTTCAATGACAGTTCGGCCGTCCTTTTGTAATAACAGATCAGACCTTCGCTCACTGAAAGATAAGAAAAGTAATTAATAGAATTGAAGATTTATTCCCATAGTATGGAATCTTAATTTTATGGGAAAAATTTTAATCATAAACTTAACGAAAATTGATATACTAAAGTAGTTCGCTATTGATATTAGTTTAAACCATATTATGTACAGTACGATATATAGTATATAATTGAAGCCATATTCAAACATTTACTTTAATTATAATCGAATTATATTTAGTATAAAAAAATCTATTTTATTATCCTTTTCGATAAGATATTTTTCAATAATATTCAATCATATATCAGTAAAACCGGAATCGCACAGTACCGAGTATTTTTCCGGTTTGGCAGCTTTTGTTTTGAACAGGTTTATATTTTGTTTAAAACAAAATGATTTTCACATATTTTTTAATATAAATTTTAAGATTATTTTATTATAAATATATATTAAATTATTGTATTTAATATGGAGCATTTGAGTCAATTATTCACGTAGAAAATCACCGAATAGTTTTATTTATAGAAACAATTTCGAATTATGTAATCGCAGGTTTAAAATTTTCAATTAGGATTAGAATGTATACAAAATTTTATATATGTATTTTAGTATGCTAATATCTAAATAATAAAATATACGTGATGTGAGTAATAGGCCAGATAAAAACACTGTACGACAAATACGACGATCAAATTAAATAAACTATTTGATAAAAATCTCATCTAATAAATCAATTTTGAAAATTTTAATACTAAATAGATTGATTTATAAATTAATTAAAACTAATAAAAAATANAATTCCTAAAAATATTAAATATTAAAATTTATTACATTTATAATTGTTTTATATACTATATTTTAATAAATAATAATTATTAACATTTAAAAATTGAAAATCGCAAAAATCATTTGAATGCAGATTTTATTATCCGACAGGTGGAATTTAGTACCATAACAACAAACGGAAGAAAATATTTTTCTTGGGTAAGTAAAACCGATTATTCAGTTTTAAAACGTGTAAGTATATAAAAAATTGAATAATATTTTTACGCGAAAAGTATTACTGGTGACAGTAATATAATTAATATATCGATTCTTTCTTTATTTAGTAATGTATTTGAAATCGGATTTACGCTACTGACGTTCCGTGGCACTGAATATATACACTGTTTAATTGATTCTTTGCTTTATTCCGAAAATTGGGTTGGGTTTCTCGTATTTATCATTTCTGTTTTAAAAGTTCTCGTTAGAAATATTACACTAGATTTTGTTAAAATACGAAGGCAAAAACGAATTTTCTGTGAAATTTTTATTTCAAAGTGTTTAAATGAAAATATTAGTTTTCCAAAATATATAATCATTATAAAAATTTGATTGAGATTAATTAAGTAATGAGAATATATTCAAAATTAAATGCATTGCGTATATATATACATTTTTTTTAATAAGAATTCTGTTTTTGTTTAAATGACACTTTTCAGTAAAGAAATATCTTCAGAAATATTTGTTTAACTTTGATTTAAAATGGTTTGTGATAGGTTTGTAAATTTATTCGTTTTAACTTGTTTGTATTCTGCTATGAAATTTAAACTCTCTGTTGTCAGAAATTTGTTACTATTATTTTGTATTTGTGGTTGAAAATTTGAGTATTTGCACTTGAATCAATAACAAATTATTTCTGGAAAAAATTGTGGAAGGAAAAAATAAGTGCACTAACTCAAATAAATTATTGTTTGTTGTTTGGATTGTTGAGGTTTTATACCCAGGGTCGCAAACTGGCGGCGCACGAGTTGGATGTGTCCTGTCAACGCTTTGTATCCAGTTTGTGGCCTTAATGATTCTTTTCTAACAATCAATTTCTAACATCTTGCAGAGATTAAAACAGAAAAATTCAAGCATCTAACTGTTTACATAAGTCGTAAAGGTCTGGTAACAAAAGGGACTTTGTTAGAGCTTTTTTTTTTTAGTTTACAGTATGTTTTGGTTTACTGAATAATAATGAATATTGCTAGCATCTGATATACTATCTATCTCAAATTCAAGTGCAGCAAACGGCAAAATGCTAGCCTTTTGCTACATTTTGAGATTCCTGTCATATATCCCATTCGAGTGTGAGATCCATGTTTTATACAGTGCGAAACAAAAGTTTAAGATCATCTATGATTTTCTCAGTAAAATTTTTTAGGGAAGTTTAAATTAAATGTCTAAACAGAGCATGCAAATGTAAGTATATTTTAATAAATTTCACTGTTTATTATTAATATATTTACGAAAAGTAATAAGTTTAACTTCTCTTCTGTGATAATATGTTGGACAAAAATTTGAGAGTTATTTAAAACATTTCTATAATACTAAGTATACATACAACTTGCATGTAATTTACATATTCTTCCTGTTTACTTCAAAATGGGTACTTGTAAAATATAACTGATTATGTAAAGGGACAAATTAGCATAACATCAGGATAGAAAATCAGAATGTAAAATTGCAAAATTATTTTAAAGATCCTGTCAAATATGGAAGAAATTCATGCAAGGATGGTCATGTAAGTTATCTATCAAAGACAGATAGATGATTTTGAGATGTGCAAGCACCATAGATGAGTCTGTTATAACACTAGAAGGTGATTGCATCTTCCAGCTCAAGAACTACTCTTAGAGAAATGACAGAATCAGATAAATCTTTACTAAGTGAAAATTTAAAGCAAAACCACAACTGAAAAAAAACCATTTGTAAAGTCATGTTTCAAACAGTGAATTTTGTGATAATGTTGTCTTTTGTGATAAGAAAAAATTTAATAATAATGGTTATAATAGATTTCATTTTGTAGGACCTATGAAAAGATTTACAGTTTCTTTATTGTTGAGTTCAAGGCAGATGTTTAGTTACTCAGGTGTGCTTTTACAGTGCAAGCAAAATAATTTTGCATTTATAGAAAAAAATATATTTTTCTTTGACTATACAGTAATACCCTGACTTACGCTACCCCGACTTACGCGAACCCGAAGTTATGCGATTTTCAAATCTCATCGATTCGTCTTTTGTTTGAACGCCACGCAACCCTTGATTACTCACTCCCCCCACACTATTGTTCAGCTTACGTGTTCGAATGTGTCGCGCGGAATCCACACATAGCTACAATTTATTTTGTGTTATTAATTTCTGTGTTTGTTATATCTACGGAGACTCGAGAGACTCTACTATGTCATCCAAACGGAGTAGAACTAATTCTTCCGCATCAAACAAGAAAAGAAAAACTTTATCTTTGGAATGTAAAGTTAACATTGGGTATGTTCTTAAAGTCCAACGAGTTAAACAAGAATGACTTCATCATTATTCCTGTTTCGTTAGACATTTCGAATGATTCGTTACTAACGTGTTTAACTCGTTTGACTTTACGAACGTACCCATTATTAAAGACTTCGATACAAAAATGAAAATTTGTGAATTGGCAAAGAAGTTTGATCTACCGGAATTGTCGGTCAGAACAATTATAAAAGGCAAAGAAAAAATTCTCGAAGCTGTGAAAAATGCTCAATCTTTAAATTCAAGCATCATTCGTAAACGTCACAGTATTATCGCTGAGATGGAAACAATGTTAAAATTATGGCGTAATAATCAAGTAAATGTGAAAAATTGTAAAATAATATAGGACTAATTTGTTATACATATGTATTATCTAAAATTTTATTAAACATTTTTTTCTAAATTATTTTCTTTAGTCTCCGGCCTCAATTAAAAATTATTTGTATGTATTTATATGAGAAATTATACCCTGACTTACGCGAATTCAACTTACGCGGTTACCACTTGGTCCCACCTATCGCATAAGTTCGGGGTATTAACTGTACATACAGAGATGAGTCTTAATTCATTTTTTGTCCTTTTACACGCTTTCACAAAGAATGAATTAAGACTCATCTCTGTATGTATAGTCAAAGGAAAATATATTTTTTTCTATAAATGTCATATATGTCCTGGCAATTTTATTTAATGTAATTTTGCATTTGTTTCCTCATGATGAATCACTGATGGACTATAAAAGCATTCTTAGAAATTGTCTTTTGTCATTAAGACACAAGTTAAAGTTTGCATTATTTAATGCAAACTTTATCTTAACAAGATAATTCACCTATTCATGGTTTGCATTCAACTGTGGAATGGATAACAGAGAACAATTTTAAAACATTGAAGTGGTCAGCATATAGTTCTGATCTCAATAAAGAATCTCTGGGGCAATCTTTCATGCATAATGTTTACTGCTGGAAAGTAATAGAACATTAAGGAACTCAAAATATTCATAACCTCTGCTTGGTTGTAATCTCTCTAGAATGTCTATTGGCACTAGCAAATTCTGTCTTTGTATTTAATGTGTGCAATTGAACATAAAGGAAATCATTGTGTTTGATAAACAATGTAATTTTTATTTCATTTTAACATTTATATTAATTTATAAAGCTGATCTCAAGTTTTGTCTAGTGTATTATTATAGAAAAAAATTTAACTTTTTTTTTTTGTTAAATATATTAACAACAAACAGTAAAACATATTAAATTATACTTATATTTGCATGCTATGTTTAGTTATTCAGTTAAAAAAAATTTTTTTTTGTCTTGTACCGTATAAAGATAAAAAAAACAGAAATAAATCTGATACAGAAGAATTTTCTTATAAATATTGTGATATTTGTTATTTACACTAATTAAGCTATAATGAACACTGCAGATACAACCAATATCCAGCAAGAAGAAACTACAAGAAAGTAAATGTTTTCATCCGTGGCATTGTCTGGATAACTGACCTTCATAATTCAAATTGCAGCTGTTAAAACAAACAGTTCGGACAGAAGAGTTACTACAAATAGGAGATTGTCGTCCATGTGTTAAAAGAAGGATGATGTAAGAGAGGGTTGTAAGATTAAACTTTGTAGATTGACTTCCACATGGAGAAGGAGTCTACATTTCTATCTGTTAATCTGTTTAATAGATCAGGAAATGATCTATCAAGTGAAGAATGATCTATTAAATAGATTAAAAATATTAGATTCTAAAATAATTTCTTGCTATTTTGACATATATATTCTGAATTACTATTACTTAATAACAATTATTCAAAAATGCCTAAAAATGAACAAACTGGATTCAGTCTTATTGCAATTCAAAAGTCTTTTAATCCAGTAGAGCATTTTAATAGAACAAATGTTTCAGCTGCTTTTATCAGCCATTTTCAGGTTCTAACTTCAGAACATAAACTAAATGGAATGTTACAATATGAAATGATGTGAATTGTTTTGATTTAACATAATACTAAACTATGGAAAAATAAATTTAATATAAAACTATGGAACACAAAATTAATTTAATTAATAAATAAGCCCATTTGATAATTCATTGGCATCACAATGGATTATCAAACACATGAAGGATGTTGTATTGCTAGCATAAAGGATTCTAAATATATCCATATAAAGAACACAACAATATTTATTTTACAATATTTGTGAATTGTTATTACAGTCATGTCTGCATAAGTTGACACCCCAAGGGGAAGTGAAAATATGTAGTTATCTGATATGACGACTAAAACAAAGTTGAAAAACTTCACAAAACTACAATTAGGAAAATACACTAGTGCTTTGTACAGTGCATGCAATGTATCTCTCTGATCATCCCTCACTGACATTAAAGTTGGTTTCTACTCCAAGTACCTCAGCGATTTCCATCATTTTTTGTTTCAGTATCGGTCCCAAAACAGGAAGATTTGATGAATGAATTTGCTTTAGCCAACATACCAGAGAATCTTTGACATTTTTGTATGGTGACTTTCTCTGGTGTTTTTGAGACAGCCGCAATGAAGACTCAAGAAAAAGTTTCTTAATTTTCTCTTTTTTCTTCAGAATTCCCATCAATGTTTTTCTTGGAAGGCTTCCTTGTTTTGCAAATTTTAGTTTTATATAGAATAGCAATTGAATTTAAAAATTTAAT